ACAAACTCACGTCCAAATGAATAAACTGACTGATTTACAAATTCTTTTAACATACAATCAGCAACTCTATTCATTGTTTGAAAAAGATCATGTCTACACAAAATATAAATTGCACAATGTAAAAGAAGGAAACACTGGAAGACATTAGTAGGTACATGACCCTTTAAAAGATAAATACAATCATACAATATGAATCTTCGAAATTCAGAACCCTTCCACTTCTCCCTTTTATTACGAACACCTAAGCTCCTTGGTTTTCGAGTAAATTCTATTGGAAAACAATCACGAATATCATGTAACATATTATTGATTTGAGATACAATTGAATCTGACAATATACACTGAGAACGGACACTTATAAGAAAGTTGAGCATTCTTTTTACAACACCGAGATATACAAGATGGAGTGCATCAAAACGAAATTGAGAAACCATTCCAATTTCAATATTTTCTAATAATGAATTACCAACATGATGGTCAGGATTATCTCTATTACGGTAAGATGTATCGGTACGACGTGGACAATTTTGCTCAAAAAAACACATTCTATTTCTGTAATACGTTCCTTTCACAGTACATTTTTCACAAGCATAGTAACCACCATGCGCAACGCATTGTTTTACAAACGAGCGTGCTTCAGCATCCAGCACAAAATTATTAATTTTAAATTTATATGTACTACCATCACTCCATTGAAACCCATTTTCTTGCAAATTCGCTACTTCTTCGACAAATTTTTCCAAGAATTCATTAACGTTATTAGGTTTCCCAGAACCTAAATAAACAGCAATCAAAAAGGGATGTCTTAAATTCTGAAATTTTCCAAGAATTGGCCAAAAATGCTTTTCAGAACTTTTACTTAAAGGAATGCCGTCTATATTGATATCTAACACTATTTCATTATGTTGATGGACATATTCATCTGATAGTAATTGTCGTATATTCATTTGAATACCTTTATACCAAAACTGTCCATCACCAAGATTCATGACGATAATTTTCCTCGAAGTATGCAACAAAGTCTTGTAACTTTAAAAGGAAAAAGTGGTTTTAACAGAGTCAATAAAGCATCTACTTTTTTCTTTGAAACTCCATACAAAGACCAATCTCTTAACGCATTTATCAAGTAATTTTTCTTTTCTAGTTCATTATTAAGATTGCATGTTTTATCTACATCACTGTGTTTGTCATAACTTTGTTGAATAATACTTTGTTCATTTATACTACTTCCATAACTTATAGACTCACTGTTTTCAATAATACTGTTATTGTCACTGCTAATGCAAGGATTATCAGAATAATTCAAGCTACGATTTGAACAAAAACTTGAATCTAAGTCTATATCAAGATAATTACTACCTTCTTGAACATCCATCTGCCTCTCAAAAGAAGAGTCCACATCATCAAGAATTGCATTATCAAAATCAGTTTTATTATAATTGTTACTCTCATGCTTTTGAATTGCAATATCATTACTACTATTAAATGCAACAGATCTCGCTATAAACTCATTTAATTTGATCTGTTTCTTAGCACTAATTCTATATTTTAAAGGTACTTTTCTCTTAAATACGTTTTTCTGTAAATATAATAGTTTGGGAAAAGATCAATATTAAAAGTATGAATACATGTAGGGGGGAGAGAGGTTAATAGAAAGTTCATTCTAAAAGGAATATTATTTTTTTTTGGAACTTCCCAGGAAACACCAAGATGTAACGTTTACGTACTCGTTGATCATTATAATTGCACATTCAACAATTATAATTAATTTAATTGTAATTAGATTATAGTTATACATATCATTGAGTAGGAATTAATTACAACTAATAGGTATGTTACGTACAACTTTGTGTTTGCTAGAATTATATCTATACATTTATAAATTAGATTAAAAAAACTAAAAAATTGTTTATAATATATATGAAACTTTCAGGACCAAAGATGATTAAATTCCCGGGAAAAATATATATATAATTTTATAAAATTGTATATAAATGGACATATTTTATATATAATTGTATATAAAAAATGTTCATTTATATACAAATATATTAAATTATATATAATTATACCTAATTTTATATAATTATATATAAAACATTTTTCCCCGGGTTGATAATCTAATCTAACCTAACATTCGGACAAAAGTATAAATATTATAATAAGTAAAGAAATTACTTTATAAGAAAAGAAATTTTATAACTTACCTTCTTATTATTGTTATTAGGTGGCATGATATATAACTTTTATAAACTAATTCAAGCTTATTAACTGCTTTCGTCAGGGACAATATTCATGCAAACTGCTATTATTGCTAAAATGGCGGGAAATGCTATTAACGAACTCTACTAGCGCGCGCCAGTGGCGGCTGCGCGAATGTATCTATGACATATATACGTCGAAATCTCAAGAATCGATCACAATGAGATCACATATCTTAATTATTATTTATAAGCCCATTCTTTATTGTCTTCATTATTCTAATAATATATTAAAACGATATAAATATTTTAGAAATCACATACACACAAAAGACGCTTTTATTTATGATATAACCTGCGATTTCATTTTTCATTTTTTCATCATTTTCATGTCATTTTTTATCAGTGACTTTTTAATGACAAATAAAGTCATGATGACATCCTTGTGATATCATTGTGACTTTTGTGTTCTACTTGGGTATTCGTGCAACAATGAGTGCAAACGAGTTGGCATACGCTACTCAAATGAGCCTACGCTCTGTAGGTCAATTAGACGCTTCAAAAGTTATGAAGGAGGCAACATCAACAAGTCCATTGAGAGCTTTTAAGTATCGAAAAGCTTTTCATTCAATACGCGAAAGTACTTTATCTACAGAGGTTGCACTTTCTATTTTGGTCGAATATAAATTGTCAAAAAGTCAATACCAAGGACTGAGATCAGTGAGCAAGGAAAATCATTGTCAACTATATCCTCCCTATAAGAAAATAGTAGAAGCAAAAAATCATTGTTATCCACTTCGTACGGCTATTACTATTACAGAGAGTAGTGCAGAAGTTCGGGTACAGGCTTTATTGGACCATACAGTTCAACGTATTTTATTTCTTCAAACTGATGTAATTAAAAGTTTGGATCAAGAAAATGTTAGACATATGGATTTCATTTCTAAGTGGGGTTGCGATGGAAGCTCTGGGCAAAGTGAATATAAGCAGAAGTTTATTGACGACAGCAAATCAGACGCGAATGTATTCTTTACTTCAGTTGTGCCATTATAACTCGTGTCTGTCGATCACAAATCAAAAGCACAAATTGTGATTTGGAAGAATCCTAAGCCATCTTCTTCTCGATTCTGCAGACCGCTAAGACTACAATTTTTACACGAAGACAGAAAGTCAACAATCAACGAAGTACAATACATCGAAGATCAAATAAAGTTCCTTGTTCCTTTCGAAACTGTAATAGATGGAAAGAATATCTCAATTGCACATAATATGGCATTTACAATGATCGATGGTAAAGTGTGTAACGCAATATCATTTACGAATTCTTCGCAACGTTGCTATTTATGTAAAGCTACAAGCAAAGATTTTAATGACATTGATAATATTTTACAAATGGAAGTCGATGAAGCTAATTTAAAATTTGGATTGTCGATATTACACGCGTGGATACGGTTATTTGAATGTTGTTTACATTTGTCTTACAAGCTCGGAATTAAAAAATGGCAAGCACGTAGTGCGGAAGATAAGAAAATGGTAAATAACAGAAAGACGAATATTCAAAAGGCATTCCGTTCAAAACTAGGGCTAATTGTTGATCGTCCAAAACCTGGATATAGAAGTACGAATGATGGGAATACAGCTCGGCGCTTTTTCGCAAATTCGGTTGTATCTGCTTCGATAACGGGGGTGGACGAAAGTTTAATTAAACGCTTCCATGTGATTCTGCAAGTTATTTCGAGTGGCTATGAAATAAATTATGATAAATTTAAAGAATATGCGCTGAAAACTGCAAGACAATTTGTCGAACTATATCCATGGTATTATATGCCTACTACGGTACATAAGCTATTAATTCACGGTCCACAAATAATAGCTCATGCATTATTACCAATCGGTCAATTAGCAGAAGATGCTCAAGAAGCTCACAACAAAGATATTAAAAGATATCGTGAAGATTTCTCCCGAAAATGTTCGAGAATCAAAACAATGGAAGATGTTTTTCATCGTCTCTTGATAACTTCTGATCCATACATTTCCAGTCTCAGAAAGCTACCGCAGAAAAAACTGAAAAGTTTATCTCAGGAAGCTGTAGAGCTATTATGTCCTCCTACAGTTGCTAAAACTGAATATGACTTTGCTGTTGACACCGATTCAGAAGTTGATTCTGATGACGATGACGTGGATATCGATTCTGATACTGACTGTGATACTGATTGATTGATTAATTAATTGATGATGATTTTATTAATAGATGACTGACTTATTAATTCATTAATTAATTCATAATTAATTGTTATTGTTCCATAATTAATTGTCTTAGTATTTAATTAATTAATTGTCTTAGTATTTTTTTTAGTATTTAAACATGTTTGCCATATAATAAACAAAATTTTTTTTTCAAAGAATTGATTTTTGTAATTAGCAACTTCAAAAAATCTCATGTGCCAATTTTTATCAAATTATGATACCTTTTTCATATATGTATCCGCCATATTAGATCTGTCATTTTGTTTTCAGTAGTTTTGACTTTAGATTCGTAAATAGCAACCTCAAAAATACTTGTCTAGCAACTTTTTATTCAAATCAACGTTCATTTCGATTTTTGTCCACCTTTTCGGGATTTGGCCCCACTGTGCGACGCCTCTGACCGCTT